CGTCACGGCCCGCATCTCTGGAGCCTCGTGGTCCCAGACGGACACTCGGTCCCCGTCGGACACTCACGTCCCATGCCTCTCGTTCCCGCGCCCTGCCCCGCCCCTGGCACCCACCCCTCCGCGTTCTGTCTGTGGATCTGAGCCCTGCGGGTGCCCCGCGTGAACGGAATCGGGGTATTTGTCCCCCCGGGTCTGGCCGGCCCCCTTAGCGCACCGCCCTCCAGGGCAGAGCTCCCTGCGGCAGGCGTGGGAATTCTTCCCTTTAAGGCGGAATCGCGCTCCTCGTCTGGAGGGACCACACTGGGCGCATCCATTCCCGCCGGTGATTTCCTCATACCGGCTCCAAACCCTTTTCTCTTTCAAAGAGCTTGAGTTGAAGGCCATCTGTGGGTGTCCCCAGCCCAGCCCCCGCCCCGCGAGGCCGGCCCGTGCTCTGCCCTGGGCTCCGAGGCCTGGGCACCCACTCCAGCGGGAAGGAGCCGACCCTGCACACCGCTGCGTGGGCACAGGCCACATCGTGTGCACAGCTCTGTCTGGTGGCCGTGCTCACGCGCCCCGCTGAGGGGACGCCTCGCTGGCTCACGTGTCTGCGGCTCATGCCTTTGATCGTTTCGTGTTCCGTGTGAGTCACGGTTGCTTCTCGCCAGCCTCTGGGTGCTGGCTTTCCCTCCACATCTGGCCGCCTCTTCATGTGATGGCCGTCTGCCCCGTGGGGACGCCACGCCTGTCTGGGGTGAGCCTGGAGGAGCTCCGTATATACTCTGGGTTCTGATCGTTTTGTCTCTAGTTTATCCTTTTCAGAGAATGAGTCGTGTGTAAACTCAGGACACCCCTTCCCCGCCGAGCCGGCCCCATAGCGTGTTGGGACATCAGGCTGCACATGAGAATGACGAGGACACAGGATGGGCGGGGCGGGGTGGAGGATGGGAAGGAGGAAGGAGACCCGGGAAGCACAGAGGGGCAGGAAGTTCAGGAAGGAAGAGGATTCGGGGTGAAAACAGCAAAGAGGCAGCCTGCAGGTCGCGATGGAGGCGGGGCTCCTGTATAAACTTGGTGGCACTCTGGGGGGACAGTTTTGCCCCCAGGGGACACTTGCTATGTCTGGAGACATCTTTGGTTGTCCCACTGTAGGGTGGGGTCTGCTAGCGGCAGCTAGTGGGTGGTCGCTGGTTAACACCCTAAAATGCACAAGACGGCCCCTCCACGAAGAATGAATGGGCCCCAAATGCCCGCAGTGCCTCGCGCCTCGGCTAAGAACCCAGCCTGCCCGTCGTGCGGCCTCGTGCTCGCGGGACCCGTCGGCAGGTGACCGGTGTCCGCTGCGAGCTGACAGGTGTGAGGCAGGGCGCAGTCCACAGGACGCCCGGCCAAGTGCACGCCCTTGGCCCATGCACCCTCTCTCCCTCCCTCCCCCAGGCAGGTGTGGAGAGCCCCTCGCCTGGGCAGAAGCTCAAAGCTCGGAGGATGGGCACACTCCCCCCGCGATGTCTCTGGGCCGCCTCCTTCGCCGGGCCTCCTCCAAAGCCTCGGACCTCCTGACCCTCAGCCCGGGCGGTGGAGGCGGGCCCCCCTCCGTCCTGGACAGGGAGATCATCTACTCCAAGAACAATGTCTGCGTGCACCCTCCCGAGGGGCTGCAGGGGCTGGGGCAGCACCACCCAGGTGAGTTGGGGGTGGGTGGGGCGGGGGTCCCAGGCCTGAGGTGCGCTCTCTGGGTGCTGTAATTATTGAGCTCCAGCTTCGAAGGCTCCTGCCCCACTCCCCCACTTGACCTCGCCTTGACCCTGTGGACACCTGACCAAGAGGACAACTCTGTTGCCCCGGGGGTTGGTGGGGGGAGGTTCTAGGCCCCGGGTCTGAGGTGTTACCTGTTCTGGGTACCAAATGGAGGGACCAGGGTGACTTGTGGAGACCTCTGTGGTGCAGGCCTGTTGTGGGGGCAGGTGACAGAGAGAGGGACGGAGGCGTCTGGCTCTTCCTCATCCCAAAGCCACGTGGCCCGAGAGTGTGGAAATCCTTGGCGTCACCAGCTGTCACCCTTACGCCCGACTGGCTGACGGGCCCTGGGCGTCCCCCTGTTTTGGACACGAAGCTGAGCTAAGGAGATTCTGGCTGGGGCTGGAGCCCTGAGGGATGTGGGGGGCCCTAGTTCCTGCCCGAGAGGCTTTTCAGAGCAGAGACCAGGAGCCCTGGGGACCCAGCATGACAGGCCCAGAATCAGGACACCCCAAAATGGCAGGTGCTGCAGTAGGAAATGCCACCATTCCCCCAAAACGAGTGTTCAGGAGCCCAGAGAGCCCGCCCGTTCCCCCGCTTTGGAGAGACTGCCCTCCGTCCTTGTCAGCAATCGGTGGGTGGCATCGCAAGATGACCCCATCTTCCAACAAGCCGCATGAAAGAAAAGATGCTGAGGGCTGCAGCCGACCGGAAAAGGCCGGATGCCAGCCACTCACCTTGAACGTGGCCCTCCTGTGAGGCAGACTGAAGTCTGCAGCCTGTGTCCCTCCTACCAGTGCTGAGCCCAGCCCCTGGGCCGGCCCAGGCCGGGAGCCTGACTGCAGGCAGGCAGGAAGGCTTTGGGGCCACCAGACAGTGGACAGGCGGGGCTCCCCGTGCTTGGAAAAGCACAGCCAGGCCACCGCTGGGGGCCCGGAGCTCCCGGATCCGCAGAGCTCGTGTGCCAGCAAGCGCACGGCTTCCCCCGCCCCACGCTCCACCGAGTCCGGGCGTCTCTGCCCGGCCCGGCCGTGTCAAGCCCACGGGTCGCTCCCCAGTGTGTGGCCACCACGAGAAACCAGTCAGCGGCCCTGCCTTGCGCCGCTGACCGCTGTCCCCGCCCCCACAGGCTACCTGTGCTTGTACATGGAGAAGGACGAGCTGCTGGGGGCCACCCTCATCCTCGCGTGGGTCCCCAACTCTCGGATCCAGAGGCAAGACGAGGAGGCCCTGCGTTACATCACGCCCGAGAGCTCCCCGGTGCGGAAGGCGCCTCGCCTGCGGGGCCGGCCCGCGCCCCCGGAGCCACGGCCCGCCCTGATGCCCAGGGATGAGGACATCCTGGCGGTGGCCCAGAGCCTCCGGGACGCTGTGCACGTCAGCCCTTCGCGCGAGGACGGGGAGAAGCTGGCCGGGGGCCCGGGGACGGGCGGCCCCCTCCCGGCCTCCCACTGCCAG